TTCTAACATCAAATGTCATTTGCATTGGCTATCTATTTATACTTTTATATTTGCTGTCTTATGTCAACTTCCGGTTTTATAGTCGTGTGCAATTAGAAATTTTGATGGCGTATATCTCTTGATCTTGACCTTTTTAGACCTTCTCCTTTACAAGATCAAAGGTCATTGACCTTGGCTATCTGCTGATACTTTCATTTGTGAGGTCTGACGTCCACTTCCGGTATTACAATCTTCTAAAAAATGAAAATTTCTCAACTTTAGACCGTTCTTGCGCTTGATCTAATTATCGTGGAAGGTTGATTTTTTCGGGGTCTTTTGCATTTTGCTACATTTGCAAAGTCCCACTCTGTGCCACAAGTGGCTCTAGTTTATAATTATAATTAATATTATAGTAAACAAATTAATACTATAGTAATGTGGACGTATGTTGCTATTGCCACTGTCTGTCGGTCCGTTGGTTCGTCAACATTTCTTGTGAACACAATAGAGACTACAGTTGTTAACTGATTTTAATGAAATTTATATTGACGAGATCTTGGCCAAGTTCGAATTTGACAATCTTTCGATGAATTATCTTTGAGTTATTGCCCTTGACTTAGGAAACGGTCATCAAAATTTGTTTGTGAACACAGTTTTCAACTGATTTTAATGAAATTTGGTGTGATCATTTATATTATGAGATCTTGGACAAGTTCGAATTTGATGATATTTCAATGAATGGTCTTTGAGTTATTGCCCTCGACTTAGGAAAAACGCATCAAAATTTGTTTGTGAACACATTAGAGACTAGAGTTTTCAATTGATTTTAATGAAACATGGTGTGATCATGTATATTGGTGAGATAATTTGATGTATTTGGGTTATTTATATTGATTTTTGAAAATTTGGTGGAATTTCTTAACAAAATTACTGGCAGTAAATAAATATATCATTGAATTCAAACTATTAAAATTTCTTTAATATGAGAAAATTCATATCAAAGACTGTTTTATCATTTCTGACAACTGCCAGTGGGCGTATATTGCCTTGCCTGGCAAGCTATCTTTTGCTCTTTGGATCGAAATTGCATAGCATTTTTAAATTTTGTGGAGCAATTACTTCTTCAATGTTTTATAAAAGTTATGAATAGTATCATTGAATTAAATGATTCTTGATTTTATTAATTTTAATACCAGTGGAAAGCAGAAATACAAAAGAAGTAGACCTTTAACCCCAAATGTATTTGCTCATTCCATTTAACACTCGAGTAAATCTAAAAATCTGTCGCCGTAAATAATGCACACTTAGGCCTACATGTTTACTTTTTATAATTTTTCTTCAATAATGGCTTTTCTTACTCCTGATATCTTCAATATTATTTTTGAAGTGATGAAATACTTGCATTTGTCCTATTTATTCCCGTGG